CGCTTCGATCCAAGTCCGTTCCGCATCGATCCCACTCCGTTCCGCATCGATCCGACTCCGTTCCGCTTCGATCCGACTCCGTTCCGCTTCGATCCGACTCCGTTCCGCATCGATCCGACTCCGTTCCGCTTCGATCCGACTCCGTTCCGCTTCGATCTGACTCCGTTCCGCATCGATCCGACTCCGGTCCGCATCAATCCGACTCCGGTCCGCTTTGAACCCACTCCAGTCCACATTATTCAAACAGACTGGAGCTTTAATCAAACTCCAGTCTGTTTGACTAGAAAATCCGGTTTGTTTGTGGAGGTGTGAAAGCTAATTGAACTCTGGTTCGCCTACAAATCTATATCCTGGTTCAGTTGAAGTGAACTCTGGTTTCGGTTTGAATGCAGACTGGAGACCGCTCCAAAACCAGGTAATGGATTGTAGCTCAGGGAATTCTGGGTAAATAGAACAAAAACAAAGGGGCTAGCCTAGCTCTAGCCGGAGAAATCTTTTACCAAAACAAGAAAGAAATCTCACAGTTGCTAAAACTTGATGCCACTTCATTTTTGTTTACATTTAGTGAAGAGGGAAGTTGTGATCAGTGTCTTCTTCAGAGGTTTGTGTGTCGTCTCATTTGGTGGTTCTTGGTGCAGCGCCTCCAGGCGAGGAGAGGAACTGGCTTCTCAAATTGTGAAAGAGAATCACAACAGCTAAAAATGTGACAAATGCTGCAACTTCGGTCCAAAATCAAGCCGAGGTGTGAAAACATCGTAAGGGTTCATTCACACGGATCCAAATCCGATCTTTTCACCCCACACATGTTGGGGTTTGTGTCTCTTCTTCATGTGGAACTAAATCATCAGATCATTTTTAAAGCGTCTGCAGTCTGAATGTTTATGTCACATTTTATCTGACTTTCATCATAATTCTGCACCAGAAGAAGTCAGACGCCATGAATCCAGAAATAAACAACAGCTGAAAATTATATTTGTGAAATTATGAAAGCAATCGGCGTCAGTGAAACATCACATCATAATCCTGGTTCTGACTTCATGCAAACAGGCTTTGACTGGCAGTTATTATCAAACAGCCACACAGGAAACGGTGGGTGTGCCACAAACCTCCAGAGCCAAACTTTAAAACTTTATCTTCACCAATCTATAATCCATCGGTTAAACAGCATCAGGAGTTCCTCAGAACAACAACGTCTGGCTGCAGAGATGGAAGTCAAAAGTTAATTTCATCATTTTAAAATTACACAATAACTTATTTCTCCAGCAGCCTCAGTGATTCAGAGCTGAACATTTCTCTGGTGAACGAACAGAAATCCGCTGACACAGACCGACCCTGTGGCTGAAGGTCAACTGGCAAAGAAATGTATTCTTTAAAATTGCCAACTGTGACATTTCTTGTCAGCAGCCAGTAAAAGCCTCCTTACAAATTGCTCCCTCCGTTCCATCTCTTCCATTTTCTGCTCTTGAATAGACCAGAAATGGGGAAATTCAGGCTTTCCAGCAAAAAGTAAAAAAATATTGAAACTGAAGAATAACAAGAAATTATATAGTTAGGGTAAAATATTACAAAATATCATACTCAAATGAAAATAAATGTCCAAATAAAGTAATTTAAAAGAAAAAATAAAATACACAATCTGCGTGTGAACATGTGCATAAAAACAACAGACTGAAAGTGAAAAGACTAAAAGTATCAGATTATTCAGTTTGTTCCTGCTACCCCAGCAGCAGTAGGATAACCTACTGCTGCTGGGGGAAGGATGTACGACAACGCTACATTTTGCAGAAATCCATGGTGCACCATAAAATTGTGTAAAACTGGAAGTACAAAAATAAATTTGCTTAATGCAAACATGACAATTTGCATCAAAATTTGTATATTTCATAAAAACCCAATGGAGACTCTTTTTTCACACCGTATGAGTCACATGACCAAGAACAGGATGTTACTACTGCTGAAAACCACGAAGAAGACGACGACAGGAAGTGGAAGGAGGATGACGTCACAGCATTTTTAAAAATGACTTTGTAGTAAACAAACTTATTCATATGTAAATTTATTTGCATTTTTACTTAACAAAAACATTGCAACTGTGAAACATTAGCAAGATTAGCAACATTAGCAAGATTAGCAACATTAGCGGAATATCAACAACGTTTTGGACATTTTTGTAAGGGAAACACTGAAATGCTTTTTATGCTTTCTAACTATTTTGCAAAAATTTGTTGAAATACCGAGACAAAAATAAAAATGCTCAAAAGTCACAAATTTAACCTCACTGTGCTAAAACATGTGAAGATGTTTTACACTGTGTGAGCCAGTTGATTTTTTATAAATATCAGGAGTTCAGAAACATAAAAGGGCAAAGGTGTAAAATTACCTGCGCTTTAAAAGTTAATCTTTTAAAGCATGAAGAAAATTTTTTAACTCATGTATCTTTAAAGTGACATTTATAATTCAACAGTAAAACAAACTGGTCTGTTTTTAGAAAACTATGCAAATTTCAAAGGAAGCAGGACCTGGTTCTGCAAGTTTGCACACCTTTAAACAGGAAACGCACCAATCTAGCAGTCAGAGATCAGAACGGGGACGATATTAAAATTTGGGACGTCAAATACTGAATGATCTAGTTTTTTATACTTCTTTGTAGTTTATTAAGATCTTACAAATGTTTCAGAAGGTGAACTTTGGTGCATTTATTGGCAGAATTACGTTATGTCTTCACATTTAGTCTCTTCCTTTTGCTTTACCGTCTTCAGAATAAATAATCTGAATCAACCAAACTTTAGGAGAGATCGGTGAATCTATGCTTTGAATAATAGCCTCTTCCAGCTTGAAGCAGGGATTCATAAAGTCTCCATCCCTCCAGTGACCTCTGACCTTCCCTCTATCTCTCAGTGATCGGCTCCCAGGGTGGCTGATCTCAGCTCCACGCAGCTCACCTTTAATTGTGTCATGAAACTCGGTGTCGTGTTCTGTGGACTCTGAAATCTGATCGCTCAGCACGTCTCCTGGCCTAGAAAATGGTTTTTCCTGCAACCTGCTGTTTAATGTAGCTTCTCTTCTCATTAGAATAATAATTCAGTCCATTTGTGATCAGGAAAATCTCCAGGCTTCAGCAGATAAATTTATATCCAGCCTCCCAGCTTGAGAGCACTTCCAGTTTTGTGTAAGAACCAATCTGAGCGCAGAGTTCATCTCAGTCATTGTTGCACAAGGCGGTGAGTCATAACAACAGCCTGACTGTCAGTCCTGATAAAAATATTCCCTCAACAGACAAACTTTATTACATTTATCTCAATGGTGCAGCTTCCAGGATCCTGCAGCTCAGCTGAAAACATATTACAACTAAACAGCGCTGAAATAAATCTACATTCAGTTTGATGGTAATGTATGCAGCAGCATTACTCTCCAGCTTTGAAGGTTTGGTGCAGAAACCCTTCACGCTTCATTGAGAGCCGGAGATGGACGTGATGAATGATGCCGTTCACTTAATGATGAACAGAAAATATGAGAAAAATAAAGATTTTGGGTTCAGTGACACCAAACCTGAAGTACGGAGAGAAATGTTGTTAAAGCAAATTTAGCTGGATGATAAATTGTTCCAGAAGTTACTGCGATAAAATAAAATGTCATTAATTTGGGACCATTTTCATGGCATAATGATGCAAAAACACAACTCTAATGAACATTTAACACTGGAACTGGAAGACATTTTAAATATCCAAAATAAATAAACAAAACAACAGAAACTACAAATAAAATGAATCATAACGTCTCTGTAAACAAAATTGTCCTTGAAACAAAGAATCCAGCAGAGATGGAAGCACCAGACTGAAGGATTTATCATCCAGTTTGTGGTGAAAGAGCGAAACGATAAATCATGCAAATGGAAATTATTGAGCTTGTTTTAATTTATCATGTGATTAATTGATTACCTGTTTAACGTGACATGGCTAAGCTTGTATTTTCCACACTTTGTCACGTTACAACCACAAACTGCAACGTCTCTTATTGAGATTTGATTAAATAAACCAACACAAAGTAGAGCGTAAATGTGAAGTGGAAGAAAAAAAAATCATATTGTCAAATTAAAAACAAAGTTAAAAAGGCAGAAACTTTTCACCAAAAGTCATTTTTATATATTTTAGCTTATATATAGTTGGCTGAGTTTAGGTAAATCGATTCTCCACGTCACCCTGAACACACCATTCTGATAGTGGAACATGGTGGAGGCAGCATCATGCTGTGTGGATGCTTTTCTTTAACTGTTTAATGAAGCAGAAATACTGTTACAGCAGGGGCCTCCAGGCCTGGAGGGCCGATGGCTGGAGTGAAATGGCTTCATTACCTCCACCTTGTGTAGATCAGATCAGCCTAAATGACCTAATTATTCGCTCCAGCTGTGGAGCAGCAGAGGCTCATCTAGACGTGACAGGACAGCGGCCCTCCAGGACTGGAGTTTGTGGCCCCTGCCTTACAGGAAGACAGACAGTGAAAGGTCTGCCAAACTACAGCTTTTGTTGTTTTGCATCACAAGTTACATGATCAACAACCAGATGTTACTACTGACAGAAACCATGAAGAAGAAGACAGGAAGTCATCCCACGAACTAGTTCTTATCCGATGAACAAAGTTATTCACTTGTGATTTTATTTGTTTCTTATTTAATTAATTGTGAAACATTAACAAAGTTTTGCATATGTTGGTAATTTACAAGCAGCTACTGTTTTCTAAGAATGCTCTTGGGTTTGGAAAAAGTGCACACCACACTTTTCAGATCATTTTTGTTTGTTTGTTCTTCCTTCTACTTCTGCAGTTCGTGTTGATTGCATCCAAAGCATCGATGCTTGTTGTTGTAACGGGACAAAATAAAAACATCAAAGGTTTGAATAGTTTTTCTCAGAACATCCGAGTTTAGAAACCAGGAAACATCCGAACTAAAAAACCCGCTTCTCGTTACTTCAGAACATGAACCTGGATGCAGGTTTGGTTTTTACCTGGTGCAGAACTGAAACTGGACCCAAAGCTGCGAAACCGGCCCGGAAACCATGAAGACTTTTCCAAAGTCCCGTCCCAACTTCAGCGACCATCCGAACCGAAGCCATCTTTACCAGCCGCCTCGGTTCCGGAACATTCCGACGGACGGACGGTCTGCAACAAGCCCGGCGCCGGCTCGCTGTGAGCCGCCAGCTGCTGGTTTGGATCCCGGAGGAGGTCGGAGCTCCGCGGCCGAACTCCGCTGCGTTTCTGCGGGGTTCGGAGAGTCTGAGTGCATCAGCCAGGCCCAGCCCAGCCCGGGGCGATCCGAGCTCCCGCCGCAGTCACGTCACGTCCCGTGGGTTGAAAGCGAGGCAATGCAACAGCAGGGGCGGGTACGAAAATAACGAGGCCCAGGGCAGAAACGCATAAAGCCCCCATTGATCCCCATATTGCATCTGATAAATTAATATCAATAACAAACATTAACGTGATCACACTTATATTTTGGGATTGTTAAGTCATTTTTTCTGTACTGAAAAATATTAAAGGGGTAGTATGTATTTTGCAGCCACATAATCAAGTAACTATGCTACCTTGAGTAATAAAAATACTATATATATAAATTATATATAGGAACATGACTTCCTATTTATCGCTTTGAAATTGGGTCACCGTCTCTTTTAAAACTCCTGCTCTTTCTGAAACTCCGCCTTCAGGAAGTCGTGGCTTTGCGGCTCCTCTATTAAACCTTTCACAACATTTTTACCAGCGTTGCTCTGAGAAGCAGCTCCTGTCATGAGCTCAATTCCAGCAGGTGTTTGCTAATTGCTGCTGGCTAGTCTGAAGGAGTGTTTTGAATGGTTGCCAGGGAGGTGAAGGATTTCTTAAACATGGATGAAAGAATCAAAGCAACACTGCAGGAATGTTTCTGCTGTGGAAACGTTCATGTTATAAAACATTATAACATGATGTAAAGCCGCCATCTGTAACTGGACTGAAACAAAGTTTCATATTTTGTTTGGTGAGGGAAACAAATTCATTTCTGAATGATATTCTGAAATATTTGCTGTACTGATTGTTTGAAAACACAGCAGTGTAAACTCACTTTTAAATGAACACTCAGGAATTATTCCCAACTCTGAACAAAATGTAAATGTGGAGAAATCTACTCTAATCCATCCATTAATATTTAATCTTTAATGAGAAGTGAAGCCTGGTTCATCAGACTGTGCAACAAACCTGAATCAATTTAACTGGCACATTCTTCTGCACAGAGTTGGAAATACTCTGGATTAATTTCATTATCCAGGTTTTACTTTCTGTGGATTTAATTATTTGCTGTCCGTTTTTAGCAGCAGTCCACAGAGCTGCAGGACGTGATCAATACTCCACCTGTAGCAAAACGATTCCTTCTCCTCAGACTGACTAGCACGCCTGATTTAAAATTACATTTGTTCAACTTTTCCCCGAGAATCAATGCTGGGAAAATTCAGTGGATGCACTGAAGTCATCAGGTGGCAGGAAGAGAAAATTTACTGTTAATAAATCATTTTCTTCCTTCTTTTTCTTGCTACTTTCCAGATGATTTATCTTCTGGTTTTCTTGCTGAAGTGAAAGATTAAAGTCCTGCTGATTGAGGTGATTTATAGGAAGCATTTTCAGCAATGACTTGGCAGATGTGCTTTAGCTAATTAGGAAAGTAGCACTTTAGTATAAAACAAGTTTGCTTGCATCGGCATCAAGCTGAAACTCAAACATCGAAAGGAAAGACTGGAAGATGAAACCAAGATTTTCACACAAATTACACCAATAATAAAAACACAACTGGTTAATGAAATGTGGATATTGTACTTCAACTTGAGAATCAATTTTTAACTATTAAGTTTTGATATTGAAGATATCAATATTTTGGTATCGATCTGCACATCATTACAGTAGAAAAGTGATGTCATATTTGATGTCTTTTTCAAACAGGCAGTTTTCTTACATTATTAAACAGCAACATATCTATGGAAACAATATTTGCTACTCCAGACTCCCCCTGGTGGCCTGGAGGGCTTCGGTTTTGTGGACAGAGTTTTAGACACTTTTTGCAACCTTTTCCATTTTTCTCATATTTTCTGAGGTTGTGGGATTTAATCCAGCATTTGCTTTGTTGATTGAAGGTTTTTGCTTCCATTTTCCAGAGTTTTTTGTTGTTGGATTTGTTTTGTGTGTTTGTTTTGAAGTTTAGTTTGCACCCTACATGTCCTGTCATATAAAACAGGTCAAATCAAACCACATTTACAGACAGATTTCAAGTCAACTATATCCATTAAAACTGATGCTAAAAAGTGCAGCAATTTCAGTTGATGCACATGGATGCAGCAGCTCATTTTTCATTGTGTGGTTTTTATTTCACTGCAGGAGACAAGAAAACGCATTTAAGAGAACAACAAAGACAAGACAGATTTTAGCCAACATAGTCAGTAGAGCGGGGAAATTTTACCCAGATTAGAAAAACATTTAAACAACAAAATAGCCAAATAAATTGAAAGAGTTAAGACATTATGTTCACAAAATCACAGGAGAGTTTTAATCATTTATATAAAGTAATAATGTGTTTCCGGTTGGGCACGTCTAAACATTGCTAAGGTTTTTTTTAAAAAAAAGTATTTTCTCATAATGAAAGAAAATCAATAAAAGCTGATTAGCCCCATCTAGTGGTGAAAAACCGGTAATGCGTCCAAAATGTATTTATTAAATCAATTTAATTTCTGGAAGAAAATTAAATTGATTTAATTTTAGCAAAATTAAGATTAGAAATTAAAATTAGAAGTTTTAGTAAAATTTCTTAAGTTTTTATTGAAAGAAGTTGGTTTGGAAAAAATATTTTTTCTAATTTTGTTATTTTTTGTTAATTATAAGAATTATTGTCATTTAGGTCCTTAAACACATAAATGTGTCATATGTTGTCATTCAGTAAATAATTACACTTTTAATGCAACGTTGCTCTAAAAGTTGCATTGAAAGTGTTAAAAGTGCAAACTTTGCATTAAAAGTGCCATTACCTACCGAATCTCCTAATACATGAAAGAATCATGTTGATAGATAGAGAAGACAGTTTGGGACCAAGTTAAGGCGATTTTCTTCCTTCTTCAAATTTACCGCCATGTTTGACACAGTTTTGTGCCTTTAATATTATGTTTTGAATAAGAAGGACCAGAACATCCCCCAGTTCCTCCTGATTAGAACGAAATCCATACCTTTCATGAGATTTCAACATCCATCCATTCATTCATTCTCTGATCACCCTTCTCCCTAACGGGGAGCAGTTGTGGTGTAGGTGTGTGTGTTTCAGTGTGTGTGTTTCAGTGTGTGTGTGTTGGGGATTTGTCAGAATGTCACAATCTATTGTTGTATGGAAGAGGATTAAAACAAACAATACAAGTTAATCTGGGAAAATAAGTCAAAATTTTGAGTAAGATTTCTGAGGTATTTTTTTAACAAAATATGAACAAAAATGTAGAGGTGTCAGATTGGAGGATTTCTCTTTTGTTTTTGACAAAAACCAATAGCCATTTCTCCCGCTAGCGCTAGACTTTCAGGTTTGTTTTGGTTGTATTTACCCAGAATGCCCTGCGCTATAGTCTACTTCCTGCTCTGGAAGCGGTCGCTGGTCTGCTTTGTGTTCACATATGCATTCGAATGTAAATCAATTAAAAATCGATCAGAGTTCGCTCAGGCATTCACACCTCCCCAAACAAACCGGACTTTCTGGTCAACTGGACTGGAGTCTGAACTCGATCAGCTGATCATTTGTCAAGAAAGTCCAGTTCATTTGTGGAGAAAATTAAACTCTGGCCCACCAACAAACCTCAGTCTGGGTTCGGTTCCAGTGATTTCTGCTGTTTTAATGTGAAGCCAAAGTGGACTACAGCACAGGGCATTCTGGGTAAATACAACCAAAACAAACCAACTAGCCGAGCACTAGCAGGAGAAATGTCTCGTGGTCTTTAGTCAAAGACAGAAGAGGAATCCAACAACCTCTACAATTTGACAGCATGAGTGTTTTCTCTGGTCTTTCTGATGTTTTCTTCAGCAGCTGCAGTTTCCAGTTTACTGAAACATACAGACTTCAGACACCACTGTCTGAGTTTCTAGACGTTTTCAGAAATGCAGCCAGATAATTTGTGTTGGTCTTCAGTTTCTCTGCAACATCATCTCATGATGTTGCAGTTTAGTGATGGTGATGCGGCCAGCAGAGGTCAGCATCATATCGCTCCTCAAATCAGCAGCAGTTCAGGGTCTGTTAAAGCTGCAGTTAATCAGAATTCATGCTGAATTATTCATGCCACCTTTCATCAACAAGCAAATGAAACCAAACTGAACTGAACTGCGTCCTGATTTGTAAAACCAGCTGAATTTTAAAAGGGTTTGGTCATAAATGTCTTTTAAAACATCTTATTTTCATTTGTTGCTTCTGGTTATCACAGAACATCTGATTTTAATATCCCTAAATGAAAAAGTTTTATGTCTTTTATGACTTTTGCGACTCAAACTTCTTCCCTTTGAGTTTTGACTTGTTGCTGAGTCTCTTTTAAGCAGAGCAACATCCAAAAATATCAAAGCAACTCTGAAAACAGACATTTTCCAAGGAGAGGAGGGATGCTGGGAGAAACATCAGTTTATGAAAGGCTAAAAAAAAAAAAAGTCTCCCCAGCTTGTGTTTCTTTGGGGAACGCTTCATCTGAGGTTCTCGTCGGAGGCCGTACGAGGCTCCTGCAACTACAAAACATCCAGAGTGTCTCTTCATGGCGGCTTGGGAGGCAGAGGAAGGGCCAGCGCAGAGGAAGAGCGTCGTGTATTTTTGTAGACATCGCTCCAGACTTCACTTAATCTAAGAGTACATCAAAGCACAAGCAAAACCCTTCTCTGCTGCTTATTACCAAAGAGCTCATAAAACCCTTTGGGGACGTAAAGGAGAAGTAAGTAGACAAATAAAAAATAAACATGTTTGCTTTTATCTTTCAAATAACTGTTTATGTGGGAACAAATGAGAGGAGATGGTTGAAAATATTCAACAATACAGTAAGATGGTTGACATTTGTCCAAATGTCATAATTAAAACCAAGCTGGTATTTTAATTTTTTTTTTTTTTTTTGGATTGGATTCAAAAGGCACCATGCAAACATGAGATTTACAAATGGTTTCTGTTTTTGATTTGAAAGTACAGCGACTGCTTGTGCGCATGCAGGGCCAGAGAGTAAACAGGCTCTGCGGCGCAGAGCGTTTCCGTCAGGACGGAGCGCGTAACCCCGTGGAGAACCGCGCAGTTCTGAAGCCAGAGCTGGTGAATAAT